TCCCTCCCCCGCCCCACGACAGCCATTGCGCCCGCCCACCATGCTGTCAGCTGTTGGAACAGGACCTGGTGGCAGTGCCACTGCAGCCGCTGGAACACCGCCTGCAGCGCCGGCTGCCCGCTGAGCGCGTGCCGCTGCAGCGCCCGCAGCAGCTCCGCACCGCGCAGCGGCCCCGCGCCCGCCGCGCCGCCTGCAAGCGGGCTGGGCGACCCCTCGCTGTCCCCAGCGCCGCCGCCGGCGTCGGCACTTCGCGCACCGGGGGCGCCTCCGGCCGGGCGGCGCAGCTCCCACGCCAGTTGGTGCAGCTGCGGCAGCAGTTGCTGCGGGCGCGGGGCGGTTGCGGCAAGACGGCGGCACAGTGAACAAACCCCTGCAGAAAACCCGTCCATAACTGTACCTAGAAGGTGCACTTGGCATGGGAATGTGAGGTGCTGCGGTCGCTGTGACTGGTGCTTGCCGCCCCGGCCAAGTCCTGCCCTCCGATTCCTCCCAGAGTGCCCCACCCCGGCCACCTGCATGGGCAGCAGCTGGTACTGCAGTGTTGCCAGGCCCGCCCCCGGCTGTGCTGCCAGCTGCTGCTGCAGGTCCAGCACTGAGTCCTGGTAGACACCCAGGAATTCTGGGGGGCCCGCCCAAAGGGGGAGGGCGCGAGGAGGGGGGCGAAGCCGTGCAGCCTGTTGCGCCGATGAGCCGAGTTACCGGACCGCTGCCGCTGCAGGCGTAGCTGGTAATTGCGCTGTCGTGGACACTGGCAGCGGCCGCGGCGCAGCGGCGCATCACGCCCCCCGTCCTGGAGGCTCACCGGTGAGTCCTGCGCAGAGGGCCTGGCGGTATGCGCTGCGCGGCGCCGCCCCGCGGTCGAGCTCCACAAACAGCCGCAGCTGCTTGAAATGGAAGCCCAGCGCCACGACGCGGTCGAGCAGCTGCCTGTCGCGCGGCTCGATCCATGGCAGGTCCTGTGCCAGCCGCACGGTGCACACGGACGGGTGCTGCAGCTGCAGCGCACCCCGGTCATCCGCCGCGTCGACAAACACGTCGCCCGTGTAGCCCAGCAGCGCCATCAGCAGCTCCTGAAGCAGGTTGCGGTAGGAAAATAGGCCCTCCTGGTCGCCTACAGGCGAGCTATCAAGCCTAAACACGGCATCAGGAGGCTTCAGGCGCGCTGCTGTCGCGAGTCCGGCCATTGATAGCGATGGAGATCAGAGATAATTATGCGAGTTGATTGGAAGTTTGTACATAGAGAGCGTTTTCACGGTTGATATAGGCCTGGTGGCGAGCTCGCAGATTCAAAACAAGATCGCCCGCTATCGATGAGTACAGTACAAAAGGCGGTACAATGAGTGTTGTTAGTTATGCCTGCGTATGTATCATACGGCCTATCAGCATGAGAGTGCGGCCTTGAGCACACCCGTACCGTAGCGATACAGTAGCTGCACACCCCTTGCCCCAGGCATCTGGCACACCCCTAACTCTGTGTAGTCAAATGTTGCCAGTGCTGACGCGTGAGTTGCTCACTCGGCGCACTCGAGCCTTACTGTGCTTGAGTATGCAGCCGTGCTGTAATATGACATGGCCTGCCGCGGTCAATCGCCTTGGTGACAGTCAGGCCGCACCACTCATGCAGCTGCTGGTGAGGTGAATCGGCAAACTTTAGTCCAGCCAGCTATTTAAATGCTGAAACAGGCCTGCATGTATGCGCAAGCACTCAATATTTCCTCACAGGCTGACCTGATATGAATCTCAGCTGCCACAACACCATCATACCGTATGGTACCCCTGGAGCGAGCTCGAGGATGAGCACCTGGCTTTCCCCCTTCATACCAATTAGCAAGATTGTGAAGTAGACTTGAGACTTATCATTGTCAAATAACCAAGCAGCCCCCCTACCCCCAAATAACTCCTGCACAGCAACCTGGCACAAGCGAGCAAGTGCAGCGGTATGACAGTGGACCAAGCGCCAGGGTGGCTTGGCGCTGTCGGCCCAAAACGGGGTGGCAAAGGGACATATTTCTATCCCAACCGTCTCTTTCAGTACACCGGAGACTACGTTGACGGCAAGAAGCATGGCAAGTCGTCGCGGAAGTTTTTTTGCACAGCGCACATTTACAAACTCGACCTCACAAGCTCTGCGTTGCAAGATTCACAGGTCACGGGAGGCTTGACATGGGGGATGGATGGTCATTCTACGAGGGAGAATGGGTGAACGACGAGATGCAGGTTCGCGGCCCTCGCAGCGTGCTGCTGTTTGCTGCACTGGAGCCCATGGTTGCCAACTGGGCGGTGGGTCCGGATCGCTGCTGCAATGAAGTGCTCTTTGCTCACGATAATCCACACGTGTGCGGTGATTGGTGCACTCTGACATTCTACACAGGGCCATGGCATGAGGGTGTTTCCAAACAAGAACAAGTACACAGGTCAGCTCACTAGCTCCCAGGTCCTTGCGACCTGACACAGACAACAAGCTGTGTATTGCTGATAGTTGCATGCTTACATGGCTGCATTCTCAAGAAATCAGGGATGCAATCCCCCGCAACCCTTCTACACATGCGCGTTGCGGCACGCCTTGCCAGGCAGCTTCTTCATGGGGGAGATGCATGGCACCGGGCGCCTGGAGCTGGCAGGCGGTGCCGGGGAGTACGACGGCGGCTTTCAACACAACGCCTTTCATGGCAACGGCTTGCTGAGGCTGTCGGACGGCTCCGTGTATGAGGGGGAGTTCCGCGCGCACAAGTTTGAGGGCCGCGGGCGGATGGTGGCGGCGCACGGGGACGAGTACGAGGGAGAGTGGCTGGCGGGGCGGCGCAGCGGGCAGGGCACCCGCCGTTATGCTAACGGTGATGTTTACGTGGTGAGCGGGGCCCGCTAGTGGGCTGGACGGCGCAGGAGTCGGGGCTCTGCAGGGCGCAGGCCTATCAGCACGAACAGCGGTGCGCTGCGTCTCTATCCACCAGAGTGTGCCCAGCCTGGACCAACCCTGACCCCTTATCACCGACCCGTCAATCCGGGCGGCTCGCGCCCTGCGTGCGCGCACCATGCATCTTGTTCATCAGGGAACCTGGGCTGATGACATGCCCTGTGGCCGGGGACGCCTGCTGGTGGCGCGGTATCAGCTGCGGTACGAGGGCGCCTTCGTTGGCGGCGAGCCAGAGATAGCCCCTACAAAGCTGAACGCCTATTACCTCGCACCGGACAGTGCGCCGTGCGGCTCGGCAGCGCCGCCCCCACGGCGCGGCTCCGCTGCTGGCGGGACTGCTGCCGGCAGAGCAGCGGCGCTGGCGTCCCAGGCTGGCGGGTTGAGGGGGACGAGCAGTGGCAGCGGCGGGGCCGCCAGCAAGTCAGGTGCAAAAGAAGATGCGACGGCCTTGGAAGGCGATGCGGCGCTCGCACCCCAGCAACAGGCGTGGCGCCAATTGGAGCCGGCGCCGCCGCTGCAAGTGGTGGCAGGGCAGGCACTTGGCGTTGAGCTGGTCATTGCGGCTCAGCGCGAGGTGCCACTCTCCGCAGCCTCGGACGCGTCACGGCGCACCACGTTCTCAGCGGGCGCTGCAGCAGGCGGCCTCTGCGACACGGTGCCGTGGACGCAGCAGCTGGCGCCCGAGCCCGAGGCGCCACGGCAGCCGGCCGCCTCAGCGCAGCAGACCCCCGCGGCGTCCAGCAGCGGGGGCCGGCGCGGGGGAGGTGGCGCGCACAAGGCAGCGCAGTGGCGCATGGGCACCGCAGCGGGCGCTTCGGATGGCGCGACGGCCTCACCCGCGAGGAGCGCGGCCGGGTGCGCGGCAGCATCCAGCTCTGCTGGCAGCAGCCCGGCTGTGGCGCAGGCGGAGCCTGTTGTGTGCATGCGCCCGATGTACTTTGAGCTCCCTGCGTCCACGAACGGTGGCCCCGCCTCCTGGCGCACCGCAGAGACGGAGTTTGGGCGGCGCGTCATGGTGACGCTGCAGCGGCAGCCGCCGCAGCCGCTGGCCCCGGGCAGGAGCTTGTCTGCTATGCTGTGCTGCGTGCAGCAGGCCATGGGCGATGAAGAAGGCGCCGGCGGCAGCGAGCGGCCGGCAAGCGCCGTGGCTGCTGCCCAAGCCAGCATCAGAGTGGAGCTGCACATTTGCCTGGTGCGGAGTCGGAGGGGCAACAATAGCGACCAGGCGTTGCCGTGCGACTGCCCGTCGCGTGTGAGCCATACTACTATTTCACACGGTGTCAAAACCCCTGCCCCCTGATTCGCCGTGTTGCTCAACTCCACAATCGTGCAGGAGGCTCAGGTCTCCAGCCTCCTGCCCCTGGACGCAGCGGCCGGCACCTCGGGCGTCGCGTCAATCGAGCGCACCACAGCGCTGCCCCTGGAACTCACTGCAGGGGCGCACGCGCTGCGGGCGCTTGCCCTGGGGGCCCGCCTCCCGACCTGCCTCCCAACGGGCAGCTGCTGGCTGGTGCTGACGTCGCCGGGCGTCAAGCCGGGAGTGGTGCCGCTCGTCGTGGCGCAGGCGCAAGCAGAGGCAGGAGCGGGTGGCCCCATTGCGGCGATCAAGGGGCGCGTTGCTGGCGCTTAGCTCATGCGCCGGCCTAATCCTGGCAGCTCATGCTGTGACCAATGTTTGTCACATCCTCACTGCCGCAAGCCGATCGGTCGAGCATTGGCAGACTGTATTGTACACAAGCTTTGCACTGCTGTTGGGTGCGGGGCCCCGCAGGATAGGTGGCCTGCCAGGACCACCAGCAGACACCAGTGCAAGTGATTCAGACGACAAAACAAATGGATACTCGGGGATTTTTTGCAACGCAAAACCGTGGGCCCCGACCGCGCTGCCCGTCATCGCCCGCGCAGCGTGCCCGCACGCGCCGCTGTTGCCGCTGACGTCCGCGCGCCTGCGCCGCTGCCGACGGCGGCGCCGCCGCTGGTCTTCTTGCGAGCGGCATGGAACGCGCTGCTGTCCGGGTCCACCTCCATGATCCTGCGCCACAGTGATTTTTGTTTGTCGGTGTCAAGAGACAAGTTTGATACTAGGGAGTGAGGTGTGAAAACATGCGTGCCGCTGGCGATTGTAATTTTGGGTGTAAGTGCTCCTCAACATTTCACCCAGCTGAAGGGGTGCTGCTACTCCCTGTTTCGGCACGTTTGCCGGAGCTACTCCAGCTGGAAAAGGTTCCTCGCCCCTCATCGATCAGCAAACTCAGAGCTGCGCGTCGAAGCAACAACCCCTCCCCTTACCCCCAGAGATAGGCCTGGCGCTCTCCCCCCCCAACCTGGCCATCTGCAGCCGCTCAAACGTCTCAGCCGGGTCCAGCTCGTCTGCGTCGTCACCCACGCCGCCGCCGCCACCCTCTTCACCGCCCCACTGCACGCCGCCGCCCGAAGCCGCCCCCGCAAATGCGCGGATGTACCCGGTCGCGCCGGGCGCCGCAGGCGCAAAGCCCCGGGCAGCGCACCACGCCTCAAAGGCGTCGAGCTGTGCGCGCTTGGCGGCGGCCAGGGCCTCAGTCGCGGGCTCTGCACCGCTGCGCAGCTCCTTCAGCCGGTCAAACTCGGCGCGGTACCTGGTGGCAGGGGGAGTGCGTGACATCGCTCTACGTATTAAATGCCCTTGCAGCACCAGCGGGGCGGAAATTAGCCCTTGATGCGGGGCATGATGCGGCGGTGGTGGCGCCTACGCACTCCTGCCAGGAGCGTGCAGCCCTCGCGCGCACCTGGCCTTGGCGGCCCTCAGCTGCTGCGCCGCCTCCGACTGCTCCTCCTCCCAGCCGCCGCCGCCGGCCTGCGCCCCCTGGCCGTCCAGGTGCTGCGAGAGCTGGTCAATCTCTGCCTTGGCCGAGTTGACGCGCGCCGCCGCGTCCTGGCGTTGCCGCGCAAGCAGTGCGTGGGGGATGCTCCCTCAGGTCGTTGCAATCAACGGGCAGAGCGCTGCCGTCAAATTCCGCAACCGACTGTAGGTTGCGTGACCCTCAAAACCAAGGATCATATTTATATCTTCCTTGCTGGGTTGTGCCGTGTTATCATGCCGCTCCCAGCTGCTGATGTTGTGCAGCCCACCCTCATGCGCAAACCCCGCCATCCTCGCAACCAGCCTGCAGCAGGGCTCATGACCCACCAAGGCCTGCCCACACCACCCACTCCACCGGCCCTCACCTTGACCCCCTGCCTCAGTTCCCTCAGCTGCTGCTGCCGACCCCGCACTTCCGCAGCCAGCCGCTGGCCCTCGCCGCCCGCGCCGCCCTTCCACTTCAAAAATAGCACATTTAGGTCCGCAGGCGGCCGTGAATCGAGGGCTGGCGGCCCCCGTGCGCCGCCGTCTGGTGGCGAGTCCAGCTGGCCGCGCGCGGTGCTGGCGGGGGACTCTGCACCCCAGCCGCCTGCCGGCCCCGGCGGGGTCTGGTTGGACGCCGGTCGCCACGGCGACGACGCGGCCCCCGCGCCGCGGCCGCCGCCGATTGCCACCCGGAGCCCGCCATGCTGCGCGCCGCCCTTGGGCGACGCGGGCGGCGCGCCGGCTGGGCGGGCGTGGAGGGGGGCCGTGCCCAGCAGGAACCCGCCCTGGGTGGCTGGGTCGACGTCACCCAAAAGCCACGCCTCGTCGGCCCCTGCCCCTGGCCCCTGTGCGCCAATTGGGTGCGGGCGGGCGATCCAGACATGTTCTGATGTGCCCTCCTGACCCGCCCTGCCATGTCTGCCGGACCATCACAGCATGCACCCGCAACTCACGCATGCAAAGCGCCGCCGTCGCTTGCACGTTTTGATAGAACCAGACACGCGGCCCACCTGCCCAGCAAGCTGTTGCTGCTGCTGCTGTTGCTGCGCTGGTGCCCCGAGCGCGGCGGCGGCCGCCAGGCCACGCGCCACCTCCCTCATGGCCTTGTATGTCTCGCGGATGCGCTTGAGGCTGTCTGTGGGCAGCTGCTCCAGCGCGGCCTGCGCGCGTCCACGGGGTGCGCACCCGTCGCAAAGCGTCAACGCGTAAGCGCTCGTCATCCGTGCAAAAACCAGCAGCAGATTGATGCATCGCAGTATTGGGGTCTGAAACTGGGATTGGTGCCTGAGCCACACACACACACACACACACACACACACACACACACACACACACACACACACACACACACACACACACACACACACA